GCTATGCCCAGAGGGACTGAGTTTATCCTCCTAAATGATTTCTCTCCCAAGGGGGAAGAAGGACTGGGAGGAGGAGTAACAGTAACAGCAGTACAGTGAGTCACTGAAGTCTTTGTGATTGTGACCCACCATTCCTTCCTTTGATTTTTTAATGTCTAAAATGACTCATCCTAGCTGTAATAAATATTACAATGAACTCTTTTCTCTGATGATTCTAAGCATTCAGAATAAGGAACAGCCTCCCTATAACACATAAACATATCCTTTCTTTTTTTCTTCCTCTTCCTTTCTCCTTCCCTTCCTCCTCCTCTCTCAATCCCTGGATCTGAGGATTTAGGCCCTTATTCCTCAGTGCTGATTTATGATCAAACACTCTTGATAAACAAGATGTAGAGCATTATATCACATCACACAGATACACTAAAGAGGGGGCATAAAAACAAATCAGAATGAGGAGATAAAAGAACATGCTGTTACCATTTTTGTGGGGCTTAGCCAACCTCACCGCACCTCTAAGAAATTTTTTTCAGAATTTTTGAGACTTATTTTATTTTTAAAGGGTTAACACTGTTACATGTGGTCATGAGTGGAGGAAGCTGGTGTCAAGCAAGCCCCCATTAGGCCCTGTTCTTATTGGTGGTAGTGGCAGTGGTGGGGCACTTGCACCCCAAGTGTAAGCCCACGAAACAGCACTGGCTGTTCCTCAACCCCACTGCCATCTCCCAAATGATGACGCAGCTGACTAAAAGCAACAAAGGGGACATGCTAAGGTATTTACCACTTAAAGTTCAATGGTATTTACATGGTATCCCCGCGAGTACAGCGCTAGGTCAGAGCTCGCCTGATCCAGGAAGACCAAGGTGATTCAAAATGAATTCACTGAAGATAAATCTACATGAGAGCTGATAAGTACTGTATGCTGCATCAAAAAGTAGTCTTTCCACTCTAAAACAGTAAAATCTACTAAAATTAGTTTTATGCTGGCCTTTAAACAATTAGTATCTGGAGCCATTGTAGGTAAAGCATAACAAAACAGAAAATAATCATAAATTGAAAAATTCTATGTTTAAGGAAAATGGGAAGGATTGGAATACATAAAATGAAACTTATTTTATTTAGTTGGCAAATCCTAAAAGTATAGTTTTTTTTGTTTTGTTTCTTTTTGTTTGTTTGTTCGTTTTGGGTAGGAGACAAGGGAGTTGGGATGTGAGGCCACCAGACTCTTCTACTCAAGCTCATCTGGTCTGCTGGCATCAGAGAAAGTACTCTGCCTAAAATATTGCCTCCTTAATGTAATTCCTCTGTTCCAGAATCTTCTAAAGCTCACAGTATAGCCTGGACTGCTTACTGCCCCTCAGCGTCAATGTTTCTTCCTACTGAAAAAATTCCATTCCAAGCAGCTGACTTCTAAGACTTTACAGTCATTACTTGAAGTACTCTCTTCCAGCTTCCCTATTTGATTCTATTCATGTTTCAAATCCCAGCTTTTTCTGGAACGCTTCCTTGACCATGACAGCTTGCAGTGACCTCTCTAATTTATAAAACTCTGTAGTCTAATTTGCAATGCCTACTATTTTTATCATTTTCCCTTGGTATATTTTTCTCAGCTTGACGAAAGCTCCCTGAGGACAAAGAGCCCAACACTTCTCAGGAGCCCTGCATCCTTCTTTGTTCCCTGTAAGGCCTAGCACATATTAGGAGCTCAAAAAACTCTGTTGCTTTGTATACCTATATGTAATTTTATTCTTTAAAACAATTTATATGTGTTGTGTTGTTAAACTTTAACCCGAATCTAATAAAATTTTCCTGTGTAGTTATCCCTTTGAATGTTTTTAATTGGAGTAATTTATTATCGGTAACTGCAATGGCATTCAGCATAATATTACACAAGTATTACTTCCAAAGTAAATCCTGTTAATTCACAGAAAAGCATACAGGGTGTGGTTTAAATAATATTTATTTTTTAACCCTGATACAAAGCTTTCTAATTTAGAAAAGTTTTTGTGCGCTTTGTCTTAATCTGATCATCACAATAACTAGTAAGAGGAAGATCATCACTATTTCACTTTAAAGATGAGAAAATGAGACTCATTGAGACTAAGTGACTCACCCAAAGTTACAGATATACTAAGTATTATTCTAGAGGTACTACCCATTTTCTACCAATCACTCCTTCCTGGCACTCACATTCTTAGAGAAGCTCCCCTTCCACAGAAGCAAGAGACACAACTCCAGGTACCATGACCTTTGGCCCTAAGCTCCTAATCCTTCGGCTAGAATGGACTGGATAAGAGGCACGTTGAGCCAATCAGATTTTCCCTCTGAAACTGGGAATTAGCATACTGGAAAATCAAGTTTTTACTCAATGCTTAAAATAAGAAAGGATGTTAAAGCCAAGCTTGGGCAAGCATGTGCACAATAAAGCAGGAAGGGAGGGAAAGAAGGGGAGGGAAAGGGAGGGGAGGAGAGGGGGAGAAGAGGAGGAGAGGGGAGAGGAGGGGAAGGGAGGGAGAAATAGAGACAATTTGCTTCTAGTGAGACAGAGAAAGTAACCTAGGTCAAGACTACTTCCAATCCAGCTATAGTTCTTATTCCTGGATTCTGGAAGATAACCTTATATACCTCCAATAAATCCCACTTTTTGCTGAAGCCAGTCTGATTGGGCTTCTGTTTCCCTAAAATCGAATGATTTCTAAAAATGGCAGCACCTAAAAAAATTTGAATCCACATTTCCTGAATCCAAACCTGGTGCTTATTTCACTGTATCACCAATGAAACCCAATAAATTTATCAGAGAAATAAAAAAATTAGCCTATTTTAGTATAAGCTCATATTCTATAGTCATCAAAATTCCTCAAAATATTTTTTCCCAGAGGAAACAAAATCAATCATGACTACTTAATTTTAGTATAGAATAAAGCCAGATACTCAGAAGCACATATGTATACATTATTTATTTATAAAGTGACTCACCAATTCACCCTCAAGTAATGTAGTCCCATCTTTATATGCAAATATAATATTTCTAGAATTTACTCAGACAGCCTGTTCATTTGTTTACATATTCAGATTATCTATACTTGGATTATAGAACTTACGATCTCCTAGATTGTATAATGTTCTACTCTGCCTCTCATTAATTATATTTTGTCATTGAGAATAAAAGTCTCAATTGCTAGATGATATGTGCATAGCTACTCTGGAAAGAAACTGGTAATAATGGTAATGCCGTGATAATACTCCTCTTTTATATGCAAATAATCTGTACAGTCATTTACTGTGTCCAGCCTTTTTCTTTGAAACAAAAAAAAATCATTCTATAATTGACAGTTTGGCGATACTTAGCAACTATGAAGGTCTTGGGACGTTGTCTGACATACTAAGACAAAGAGGACAGCCTTTAGACATGTCTGCCCTAGACTCATTACAGCTGCTGAGCAATCTAGTGCCAAGACTCTTCAGAACTATAAGAACTCAAAGTCCCTAAACTGCCTATGTCTTTGTCTCAAGAGATAAACTTGGGAAGATATAAGGTACTGACAGAGGCTATGTGTCCAATAGAGAGCATGGACTCAGGGAGATATACAACTTACAAAGACAGCATGAAGCTGAGGAAGGAGCGGGACAGTCATGGGCAGTGTTTCTGCAGGGCTTTCCTGAGATGACATCAGTACCATGAGCATGACGATCACTAGTTTGGAGCTGGAGGATAAGAAGCCTTCTGATTTTAATCCAGCTTCCAGGCGGAGCCTATCTACATCAGTGAAAGAATATCAAGTCATCTTGTTAGGGAAATGATAAATTGGTTTCACTGGCTTCCCGTCCTTACCTGGTCATAGATGACTAGATAAGAGTGGACAGATGACCCAAATTTAGCCCATTATTTTTCCATTTCTCTTAGGCATTTGAAATAAGTCTCTTGGTTAATAAGAGTCTATCTTAGAGAATCTGATTACATTTTGGTTTATTAGTGATTTGGTTTCTGAGATTAGAAAGCTGAAGACTCTAGCATGTCTATGAAGACCTATGGTTATGCATGCCTTAAGAAACTGGAAAGTCATACCCATTAGGATGGCTATTGTTTAAAAAAAAAAAAACCTGGAAAATAACAAGTGTTGGTGAGGATGTGGAAAAATTGGAACACTTGTGCATTACTTGTAGGAACAGTAAATGGTTGCAGCCACTGTGGAAAATGGTATGATGGTTCCTCAAAAAATTAAACATAGAATTACTATATGATCAAGCAATTCCACTTCTGGGTACATACCCAAAAGAACTGAAAGCAGAGACTTGAATAGATATGTGTACACTGACACTCATAGCAGCATTATTCACAATAGCCAAAAGGTGGAAACAACCCAAATGTCCATTAATAGATAAATGGAAAAATAAAATGTGGTATATACATACAACGGAATGTTATTCGGCTTTAAAAAGGAAGGAAATCGTGATACATGCTATAACATGGATGAACCTCAATAACTTTATGCTAAGTTAAATAAACCAGATGTAAAGGGCATGATTCCCCTTATATGAGGTACCTAGAATAGTCATATATGGGGACCATGATGTAATCCAGGTAAGAAATTTTAGGGGCTTAGAGAGGTCACAGCTCCTTGATCTAACATTCAATGGAATAGGTGAGCAGCAGTTTTACCAAGAATTGTACTTATCAACTCCTAGTTGATAAGCTATCTAACCCTATATATCTATAATAATAGCCTTTACACATTTACTTTGTACCAGGTCCGGTTAAAAAATATATGATTTATTTTGAAATAATTTATTTACAAAAATATGAATGTAGTACAGAGTGTTGTATACTGAGCTTCTGCTAATATTAGCATCTTATGGAACCAGACTATGTTTTTTATGTTTCTATTAAGAGAGCTCCCTCAGTTATAACTATTCCTCTTATGCTGACCATCAAAAGGGATCATAAGCCACACGAGGACAACTATATTTCATCTACCAAGTAATAATGACATTTAAGATATATACTGCTAGCTTCGGGAGCACATATACTAAAATTGGCACGATACAGAGATTAGCATGGCCCCTGAGCAAGGATGACACGCAAATTCATGAAGTGTTTCATATTTTTAAGAAGAGATGAAATAGTGCCATTTGCAACAACATGGATGGACCTTGAGATAATCATGCTAAGTGAAATAAGCTACATAGAAAAAGTTGAAAACCACATGGTATCATGTATACGCGGGATACAAATCTAAAAGCATCAAACAAACATGACAAATAGAGACTCATGGACAGTGGATTAGTGGTTACCAGAGGGAAAGGGGGGAGCGGGGAGGTAGATGGGGTAAAAGGGGTCAAATATGCGGTGACAGAAAGAAATCTAACTATGGATGGTAAACATACTATGTAATATGTATATATATATGACTTATTGTTGAATTGTACACTTGAAACTTATTTGATTTTGTTGATCGATGTCACCCCCTTCCCAAATAAATTAATTAAAAAATGCAAGAGAAAAAAAATAATTAAAAATGAAAAAAAGATAAAAATATATAAATTGATTGAGATAACAAAAACCAACATTACTGAACTCTTACTACAAGCCAAGTACTTCTTGAAACTTTTCGCAGTGATAGACTAAGTCATTTAATTTTCATAACAATCCTATAAGATAGATAACTGTTTTTCTCTCTATTTGAGAGACAGGGAATTAAGGCACAGAAAAGTTACAAATATTGCCTAAGGTCGCACAGCTAGTAAGTGGTGAAGCCAGGATGTGTTACTGCTATACTATGCTGTCACTCATCGACGTTATGCTTTGCAATTGCAAGTATCTGACAAATCAAATAAACATCAATTAATATTAGTAAAGCAATAAGCCATAAAATAAAAGTTATGTGTTATATCATTCATATTAAACCCACATATTTTAAGAGTTGACTAAGTATTATACCTAAAATGTTTAAAAGAAAAAAGCCTCTGCCTTACTTATTCAACAAACCTTTTTAGATATCCTGATACCTTCTGATGATTTCTAAAACCAGCGGAACTGCAAGTGATAATCCTCAGATTTGCATTTGCTTCAAATTAAATCTACCTGCTAGCAGTTTTTCTGCCAAGTAAGCTGTCATTATTTGCAGATATTTGGGTCTGTATCTGTAGGCCACAGGTATTTAAGGAGGTTTTAAAAAACTAAACCAAAGAAACTGTAAAATAACTTAGAGATGCTTTAAAACTCTTCTTAGCCACATTTTCTCTTTTGATATAACAGTATAAAGGTAAAATAAACAAGATTATAAAAATGTTATCTTGAGAATATCTAAGCAAAAAACACACATAGCCAGAATCATTTGAGCAAATTAAGTGAAAACCATAAATATTTCAAAGTTATCACCATATGCTAACACACATAACAAATACCTCATGTCTTGGATAAGGGAGACTCTGAGTGTGGGCAACATAACTCCCGAGTCAGATTTTCTTCTTTCTGGTCCCAGGGCAACTATGTCAAAGAATATCAGCAAAACATTAGAAAAATAACAGTAAGGACAAAAAAAACCTACCTGGTTTACATTCTACAATTAATACTTTGAAATTACTTTAATAAAAACAAAATTTGAAGACAACAGAAAAACTCAGATTCTTTTCCCAGAATGTTGCTACTTTATTAATACAGTAAACCAGCTATTTTCTTTCTAGTTAATCTGGGGCTGTGTCTGTAAATTTAAAATGAATCACAAAAGCCCACTTAGCAAATAATGCAATGTGTGCAAATTTTGGCCATAAGGGCCAGTCATTTCCTAAAGTTATTCATTTTAATTGCATGGGATAATTACATTAAAACAATGTCTATAAATTAAGCTACTAAGTATGTGAATCATCTCTTGGCTCATGAATTGCAATCACACAATTTCCCTATATAGCAGGTCTTTGAATAACATTGTTTCGTTATAACATCCATGAGATGCCATAGGAACCTAACTCTTGTTTATGTCAAGTAGCCTGTGGTAAAACTGGTTTCATCATTTGTCAGTTCTCTTAAAGTCGCACAACCTGTTGAGGATGTCAAGTGAGGACTTACTCTACCCTATCTCTATCTTACTCTAAGAGTTTGAGCTTTCTACCCTATCTTACTCTAAGAGTTTGAGCTTTCTAGTCTGGTTTAAGTTTCTACTTCAAAGTTCAGAATCCAAACTACAGTATGTATATCATGCAAAGTAAGGACCGTAAATGGACGTTTAGAAGTATAATGTCCATGAGTCTCTTATGAAGCCTGAATAGCTAACATTTATAAAAGAAAGAAAGATTATTCTCTTACATAGCAATGGGTAAAGAAATCAATTACTGGCTAATGTATTGTAATTGGAGTGTTCAATCTCATTTTGAGATGGCTATGGAGTTTTGTGCTCTTTATTTCTATTTTCCCATCTGTGAGTGAAAATTAAATTGCACTATCACACTGACCAAATATAGTTGATCCCTGAACAACATGAGTTTGAACTGTGAGGGTCCATTTATATGTGGATTTTTTTCAATAAATATATTGGAACATTTTTTAAGACTTCCTTACTACCATGAAGCAATTGCATTGATTACACTAGGCTATCATAAAGCAATCATATTGTTGCTTCTTTGTTATCAATGCATGAATCGTTATACCTGTAAATAAGTATAAATTTCTTTTTCACATTTTTTCATTTTTGATGTCTAGTGTTAGTAATACGTATAACATCTACAGTGTTTTGTATAAGACGGTATTGATGTAGGTACTGACAGATGATTCATCTTGTAAATAAATGATATAAATTTAAGGTATTGATAAATACAATACAGTACTGTAAATGTATTTTCTCTTCCTTATGATTTTATTAATAACATTTTCTTTTCTCTGGTTGACTTTATTATAAGAATATGGTATATAATATATATATCATACAAAATATGTTTTAATCCACTGTTTTTGTTAATGGTAAGGCTTCCGGTCAACAGTAGGCTATCAGTAGTTAAGTTTTTGGGGAGTCAAAATGTATACGTGGATTTCTGACTGCACGGGGTGGAGATGTTGGCACCCCAACCCTGTGTTGTTTAAGGGACAAACTGTACATCAGGACTGTTAGAATTTAGGATGTGATTAAACCTGTATTTTCTCAGTTTTTAGATCCATTCTACTTTGGTGGGCTACATCACAACACTAGAACACAAATATCTAGTTGCAGCTGGCACTGAAGGAAGACAAGACGGGGAACATTTTGGTGTGTATAAGGATCTACACGTTTTTGGTGCTTGGTGAACGAGGATGGGCTGACACTTGGCAGATATAAATGTGTACTGATGGGGCTGCTACGACAACGGAGATGTGGCCAGGCCAACCTAAAGGAAGTTCTCTTATCCCTTAACACTTCTGCATCTTTCTTATTTACAGCCTATTTATCACTTTAGATTGACAGCAGTATAGCTTAATAGTTAAGAACATGGCTTTCTTAAACCCGACAGAGAACCTAACAGCTCACTGACTCTGGACGAGTAACTTAACCTCTCTGTGGTCTGCTATCTCATCTGCAAACTGGGAACAATAACAGTACCTACCTTATTCAAATTGATGTAAAACACTTAGACTAGTGCCTGGCACAAAGTAAGTTCTCAATAAACAAAATAAAATTTAGCTTTAATTTTGCCTCTGTGTGAAATCTTTCTTGACTATTCTCTCTGCCCCAGGTACACTATTAGATATTTCCTCTAACAGGACCTATAAAACTGAATGTCTACCATAAACTTACCATAATTTAACATTTCTATTATTCCTATGAAACTATATGCCTCTTGAGGCTCAGCCATATCCTCTTCCTAGATCCTCTGGGCCTAACAGAGGGCTCATACAATGTACATGCTCAACAAATACTCCCTGAGGAAGATAAGACTATGTAGAGCCAGATGGCAGAAGCTTAAAAGACAAATTAGAAATTTGCAGAGATCCTAGGGAGGTGGGAGAGACTTTGAAAAGAAATGATATGCTCCTGAGTACTTTCCAGTTAGTCAACTAGAGTGATAGTGTGATGGTATAAAAGAAATAGGGATATGAGCTAGAAGTTATTCCAAAGGCCAGTGTGTGGGATGAACTAAGACAAGTGGAAGTCAGAGAGAACAAAGAGACTAGGCAGTAGCAGAAAACATAGGACTTAACGACCAATATAAAGGGTAAGCAAGACCCAAAAGACAAAAACAGCATTAAGTATGGATATAATATGTTTTATACAGATTACCTTATCTAATTATAACTTTCCTAATCTTAATTTTGCAGATGAAGAAAGTGAGTTTCAAAGAGATTAAGAAACTGGCTCAATTATATATATTCATTAAAATGGGCAGAGTGTTCTGATGTCATGTCCAGTGGGCTTTCTGTTACATTACGGATGACTTTCTAGCTTCTCAGTTTGATTGCAAGAAAGGTGCTGATGCCATTAAAAAGATGGAGAGAGAAAGCCTGATAGGGACAGGAGAGAGAGGTGCTGAGATAATGAGCTTGTTTTAGGAGATGATGAGTCTGAAGTCCCAATGGACCATCAAAGATGGATGTCTAGAACTAGGGCTGGAGACAGAATAACCTGCTAATGGGACAGTTGGACGGTGACATTAGAGTAGAGAATAGTTGTTATGGTTTGAATTACGTCCTCCAGGAAGATGCTGAAATCCTAACCGCCAGTATGTATGAAACTGACCTTATTTTGAGACAGGGTCATTGGAGGTGATCGAATTAAGATGAGGTCAGTAGGATGGACCTAATCTATTGTGACTCGTGTCCTTATAAAGAGGGGACATTTGGACACAGAGACAGATGTGTGCAGGAAAGGAGCTGTGAAGACACAAGGAGAATGCCATCTATAGGCCAAGCAATTCTTGAGACTAACAGATGCTAAGAGAAGAGGCACAAGACAGATTCTCCTTCATAAGCCTCAGAAGGAATCACCCCTACTAACGCTCTAATTTTGGACTTCTACTCTTCAGAACTATGAAACAGTAAATTTCTGTTGTTCTAGCCACCCAGTTTACAGTACTTTACAGCAGCCCCAGGAAACAAATAAGGTAGTTTATTAGAAACTCTGGAGGAAAATTTATAAACTATTT